GAGCTCACTTAGGAGGTTATAGGCAGAGTATGCTTAGACGTCCTTCGGCTTAGGCTCTTATACATATAATGGCTCTGCGTAGAACCTATATTCCAGAAAGAAAGGACTTATTTACGTAGCCGAGCTCTCATAGTTATTTAGCGCTAACTACACGGCTAATAATAGCATTCCTTAATGCTTTTAGGAGTAATACATAAAGGCTCTAAAGTAGGCTTATACTTCTTAGTTTATCCGTTTAGGCCCCTTATCCGTTTAGGGGTAATAAGGGGTACTAAGTCGCTACTTAATTCCTATTTGCTTATAGAAATATTATTAAAACCTGCTTATTTAGGTCGACTCTTAGTCGCTTATAATCAATAAAGATATACTATAGAACCGGAAATAATAATTCAGGAACCGTTATATATAGGTTTCGGCGTCTATCGTATCTATCACCTTAAGGGTTATAGCCTTAGTAAGTCTATTAACAATAACCTAGAGCTACTTAGCGCCGGAGTCAGTTATAGGTATTAGGTCAGTTATAAAGTCTATAAGAAGGTGGTTATAAAACCGCTCAGAGATCGATAACGGCTTAAGTAGGCCTCGCTTCGAGGTTTTTTTGGATATATCCTCTTTTATACATGTTATAGTTTTATGTAAACGGCTATATATCCTTATTTATATTAGGCTAGAAGAACCTCTATACTACGAGAGCTAATATACTATCCTTACCGGGGTAGCCGCCGATTACTAAGTCGTGGATTACTTATACTACGCGCCTATATAGCATAGACTCTTCCGCTAACCCTAGAACCTAATACCGGTCTTAAAAGGTTAGTTAACCTCTTAACGCGATAAAGTACTCTACGATCTAGACTTTTAGATTTAAGGAGGGGTTAAAACTCCTTTTCTCCTTTATAACCGCGGTAATAGCTTTCCGATATAAATTATTACTTATAGCGGCCTCCTCCCAAAAGCGTTATAACTCGTTATTAGCTTCGAATATATAGGTAGGGGCGGTTTCCGCAGCGGAGGCGGCTTTTTTTACTACCCCTATAATCCTTGCCCGTGAAAGGGCGGAACCGGGAACTAGTTATATAAACCGCCCTTATTCTTATTTATCCGTATTGTATTTTAGTGCGTCTTATTCCTAATATAATAAGGCATCAACGGTATAGTTATCTCTACGTCGCCGACACTCTAGTATGAAGTCGAACTAAGCTAGTTCCCCGGCTTATTAGCTTTACCACTTAGTAAGTATTCGCTTTATTATAAAATACTTTAGGGGTTTATAGTCGGTTAATACCGCGAAACGACTATAATCTATTAGTTCCGTCTTTTATACTAGTAAGCTACTAATAATAGCGAGTATCTCCTTATTATAGATCAAGTAATTATACTCTGTGCATATTAATCGGCGCGAGTAGTACGCGACTATACACTAATATCCTTACTCGTTCTCTTAGACTAGGATACTGTTTAGCGCGAACCCGGAGTAATTAGTCTTTACCTAGGTCTTCCTATTAGGGTCCTATTATTATAGAATAGGTCCTTTTAAGAAAAGCTTCTTAAGCTCTTAAAACACGGCCTTTTCTTCCGCTCCCTATTTAAACTAATAATCTTTTTGTATTAGGGCTATTAATAGCGTTATACTATTAATAAAGTCGCGGATAAGTATCCGGTAATAGTTCGCGAACCCTAGGAAACTTTATACGCCCTTCGCGGATATTAGGGCGTCCTATTCCCTAATAGCCTTAAGCTTTTCGGGGTTATAAAACACGCCTTTCCCTATTATAATAATAAACCCTGGGTATTTCACGGTCTTTATGCTAAATTCGCACTTAGCCGGGTCTAGGTTAAGGCCGGCATTAGTAAGCGCTTATGAGACTAGTCTATCCTTCGCTTTATAGTCTTAGTAAGATTTACTCGAGTAAATAAGTATATTATCTATATACGCGGTAACGAAGTCGTTAACTAGGCCAATAAGGTCTTATTAATATATTATTAGAACGTCGCGGGCGCTTTACTAAGATTAAATAAATATATAAGCCACCTAAAAAGACTGAACCGTGTACGAAACGCTATCTTATACTTATACCCCTTAGCTATCCGTATCTTATAGAACGCGGAGACTATATTTAGCTTCGTAAACCACTTCGCACGTACTAGGTTATAAAGTATCTTAGGAATTGAGAAGAGGGGGTAACTATCTTGCTCTATAATCGTGTTTAACATTCTATAATTATAGTCAAACATTAAGCCGCCGCCTGGTTTATCTATAGATAGTACTAGGGTTATAGCTACTAAGCTATTAGTTCGGATAAAGCATTTATCTGTTAGGTCCGTAAGGGCCTTTCGTAGAATTAATAGTTTCTCTCTTAATATATTATAGAGGGGGCCGTATAGTAAGGGCGGTTTATCCTTACTAGGACCTTATATAAGGTTTACCTTATAGTGGGAACTAGGTCGGTATAAGGGTAACTTATTCGCCTTATCTAACGAAAATAACGACTTAAACTCCCGGAGCACCTTTTTCGGCACATAGTCTTTAGGGTCCACGGGCGCCTTTTTCTATAACCCCCTTTTAATATCCTTAAGGCTAACCGCCTATATTATTACTTCCTCATTAGGGCCCTTTTTATTTCGACGGAGTTAGCGGTATATACCAGTAAACGTCGATCCGGTAATTATATATCCCCCTCGGATAACTCGGATATTCGTCGGTTCTTCTTCGCCCTAAAGTCGTAAGTCGATTCCCGCGACTCCGTAGAATAACCTCTTATTCTTCCCGTAGTATATTATATCGTTATATTTAAGCCTCGGTTTACCTAAGAATAAGTCTTAGTTCAGCCCGGGTACTATATACGCGAAGGTACGCTATATATACCCTTTAACGTCGAGGTCATATATAGCGATCCCTTTATAAATAGCTAACGTAGTAGCTTTAGAGAAACTACTAAGTAATCGTTTGTTTATAATAATTAATAATAACCTAAGCTTTTTAGCTAAATATATACTTATAGCCGTATACTAGTTATAACCCGTATTAATAAGAGTATATATTAGTTTTTCTTTCTTACTTAAGCCGAAATAAAGGCTAGTGCGCTATATACTAGTAGTTTAAAAGCCATTTACTCTCGCCGTATTACGGCTAACATTTTTAATACCCGATTTCGTATTAGGGCTACCCTTTTTCCGAGTCGGAGCTAAGTTCCTTGACTCTTATATCCGAATCGCTATAAGCTTCATATCTCTTAGCGGCCTTAGCCACGCAAGGGCCCTTATCTTTCTTAGGTTACTTATAGAACCTAGCGATATAACCCGTCTTCCTATAATTATAGTAATCGCGGGTATTCCGCGGTTTATCGGTACGGGGCTTATTTACTTTTAACCTAAGCTAATTAACCTCCTTTATCTTAAAGTCTTTATCTATATCCTATCTGTTATTATTTTAGGGTATAATCGTAGGTAAATAGTATTCTGCTTATTAGCTCTTAATAATACCCTTAAGGCGACCGACTAGCTATATTCTAGACCCGGATACACTATTCTAGGTAGGTGTATAGAAGGTCGACCGCGATAAGCGTATCCCGTAGCTTCCGGCTTAAAGCTCCTTCTATAAATATAACTTCTACCGTGTCCGGCTAGGTTAACCCGCCTATATTAGCTAGCTACCTTTTAAAGTTAGGCAGGAACTAGGTAAAGGTTTAGTCCTCGCGTTATCGTAGCGAGTATAGGGCGAGTACGGCGCGAGCTTACTTATTCTAATCTTTATAGATATAATGTAGGAAGTCTAATATATCTTAGAGGTTCCGTAGCCCTCTAGACCCTCCAGGGTTATATACCGTCGCGACTACCTATTACGGCCGTAGGCCTAGGCTTATATAGATTAAGAACTATATCTCTTACTAGCTATAGAATAGCGGTCCGTTAATTTTAAGCGTATTGCGTATATCTCGCAAATACCCTATATACTCGGCTCCTTTTCCTAAGAAAATCGGAGGGTTATTTACCCGCTTTCGCTAACTTAATAGCAGGGTATTCGGCTTAACCAGAGTCTATATACTATAGAGGGGTTTTAATAAAAGGGTTGGGGTTAGCTTATCGGTCGTTATTAGTGCTAGGGTTATAAACGACGAGGGTATAGCGGTAACACTACAAGGCGTTATCTATAACGCGGGTATCAGTATAGGAGGTCCTTATAACGGAGGGGCGAGATATTAGAGTTATTAGCTCTCTTACAAAGACTATATCTAGGCGAGTATCTAACCGAGTACCTCTTAGCTCTTTATAAGGGCTTACTAAGTTTATCGCTAATTCTATACTTATTACTCTAGCGCTCGCTACTAGGCTTACGTTTACTAATTAAGCTATTCTTCGTAGGTTTAATATACTAAGTTCTATTATATCAGGTAGTTCTGGAGAGGCTATACGGTATCGGTAATTATCTAATATACATCTCGATTTCTATTCGTCTATTCCGCCTATTATTAGGCGCTAGCCTAAAAGTCGTTATCCCCGGGCGGCGTGCTAGTAGTGTAGTCTATAATTATATAGTATTAGGGTAATACTAAGTTCTAGATATATTAACGGCTAGTCATAAGTCTAAACTAATAAGTAACGCCGAATACTTATAGTATCTAGAACTAAGGAAAGAATGAAGAGAAGGTAAAACGTCTATCTTGCCAGGGGTAGCTATAGGTTAGCTACCTAGTTGGTAAGAGGTCTATACGGTGTCCCGGCTTAGTACGGCCAGAACCCTAGCTAATAGAGTCAGCCTATAATAGGTATTAGAGGAAGTAGGTGGCGTACCAGGGTATATAGTAATACGCCCGGGTAAGGTTTTTAGGGTATATTTTATATATATTACTTAGCCCCGTTTATAGTACTAATTAAGGTAGATATATATTTCCTCAGAGTGCTTTTAGAACTCTCTAAGCAATAAGAATAATAGGTTTTATACCGATATTCTTAGTTTACGGCTTTAATTCGAGCAGAATAGTCAGGATTAAGCCTATAGTTCTAGGGGGGTGTGTTAGATGCCTATAGCTACTATATCGGGGTATAACTTGCGCTATTTTATACACGGATAGAGTACTTCCGACCGATATATCTATATCGATTTCCCCTTATTTTACCTTATAGTTAGATATTTCCGCAGAGTATCTTTTACTCTTCTTCAATACACACACACATCTTTGGCGTATCTTATTTGTGTGCTAACAGATTATGTATACTTATAACTGTGTTGGACCGTCAGGGAACCGCTGCCACCGTATTTTATATAGTGCAGATTCTGCAAGCGTCCACCCGGATTATAATCTTGGCAATCCGGCCCGTTACGTAATCGAAAACACTATGGTCTGTTCGACAAACCCCGAGGTCCGAAGCCCTTAGTTAGGCATGGATCCCCTGGGGACCCCGTTGTGGTCCTGTGCCTATGCGACATAAGTTATGCTGTATCTGACAGAGATTGGATATGAATGTAGTGCATACACAAGAAGCAACAAACATCTAGGCAGTCGATTTCTTATCCGTCTCCGTCTTGATTTGGTTCAATTTCAATCTCACTAAATCTGGCTTGGGACAACTCGGCGTCGCCGCTGTATTCCCTTGGTGGGCGTAGAAGGCTCCACAGCATTGGTACAAAGCGAGAACAGCAGACTGGCATTTCGTTTCGTCATAGTTGTTCTGAGAAAGACACTCTGGCAAACTCCAGGACGAAATAAGCAGACGCCTATATGCACGATCTTGCCATGATGCTGTGCAGCTCCATATCTGGGAAGAGGACTGACTTTGAATCTTGCACTACAGTAAGAGGCCAACCATCGGGTGCCGGGTCAGTGAGTATAATGACCGAGTGATCAAGTTTGCACGTTTTAGCAGGATCTCTTACAGCTTCGGGGTGACAGGGCAGGTTCTCCTGTCGGTCGGGTTTGACGGTCTAGTTTACTCCATGAGAATGTTTGCATGACCTTTGGATGGTTATGACAGAAGTCCCATGATTGACGTACCATAGTGAGGACACAAAGAATCTTAAGACCTTGCTGGCGGGGTTGAGAGTCTACATTGTAGTCACTCCGCGATGTCAGGTACCTTATGCTTAGAACTATTTCGGAAGACATTGTTTGTCCAAGGAATTATATTTATCCGGATCTGGACGCGGTGAAGTCGGACCACACTAATTCGGCCATCCCCTAAATATGGCCACGCAAACCACCACACCGAAAAACGGGATTTTATACCCTTATTGTTCTACTAACCGTGAAAGCATACTCTATAAAATTAGGATATTAGGCAGATAGTTATACGGTTATTATATATAAAGGTTTATTCCCTTTATATATCAATACTATAAGCTAAAATTAGAGCTAGAAGTTCCTGTTAGTATTATCTAATACTTTATTAGTAAGCCTTAACAGAATATAAAATTCTATAGTAACTTAACAGAATTAAAATACTATAGCGACTATATCTTAAAAGAATTATAAAATCTAGTATAGTCTATATATTAACTCGTAAGTCGTAAGTCTATATTATATATTAGCTTTTAAGTTATTTAAGAAAAACGTTTCTTATAGTAAAGTTTACTATAGGAGAAATTCATGTCTAATATAGAAGATTAAGTATAATAGATTTTATAACTATAACTTTACTTATAGATAGCCTGTATTTTATAAATATATTGAATATATACTAGTTATAATATCTTAGTCCCGTTAATTTATTATAGAATTTTCGATTCTCTTAAGGTTTACTAATAAATTATTAGATAATACTACCAGGAACTTCTAGCTCTAATTTTAGCTTATGGTATTAGTATATAAAAAGAATACACTTATATATATAATAACCTTATAACTATCTACTTAGTATCTTATTCTAGAGTAACCTTTTATAGTTAGTAATATAACAGGGGTATAAAATCCCGTTTTTTGGTGTGGTTGGGTGGCTATATTTGGGGGATGGCCGAATTGGTGTGGTCCGACTTATACGGAGTACCTAGTAACCTAGAAGAGGTAGGTGCCTTGGCAGTCCCTAATCACACTGGATCATCCACGCTCCTTCTCAGCTTAGTCCCAGGCATTAATGACGGCTTCTCTGACAAGCCGTACATGCCGAGAGCTTAAAGTACGGCAGAGTAAACTTCACTTATAATGCCCACATTTGTGTCGGGTCTTACGTTCTCGGCCTGTCTCTTAATCACCTATCATAAGGTAATTGAGACGAGGGCAAAGTTCATCCGACTTCAAGTTCGTTATAATCATAGAATACCATTGCGAACGCTATCTAAGAGCCATGAGTGCATTCGGCAATCCTGGTGGCTCCAGAGCCTATGCCAAACCCACCCCGTAAGGCCCTGCCACCTCCCTACCTTGAAAGGTTCATGTCTAATATCTTATAGTCCCCAACGCGGCAGTTTCCCTCTCGACCATGACGGTGAGGCACGAATTGTTAACATGAGGTCACTAGCACCAGCTAACACTACATCGCGTTCCTGTATCAGGAGAATGCAAACACATAATGAAGACATACTTGGCTTGTATGACAAAAGCCCAAAGCGTGAATGATTCTACTTGTCGTGGATTGGCCAAGGCTTACCTTGCCTGCCGAATGGACAGGTAAGTAACCGTTGCTACCAGAATTAAAGCCACCATACGCACGCCGTGATTGTACTGATCACCCTTCAATTCAGTAACTTGATGGCCAAAGACGACTTTAAGAATCTTGGGTTCTTGGAGGAAGAGAAGTTGCTGGTGCAGTCAACGAAAACCAGTGAACCACAGTGCTAGTCCGAAGGACAGCAGAGGACAGTATCAGATACAGCGTAGTTACAATCGTCATAAAGTAGGTCAAAATTGATAAAGGCAATTGTGTGTAATTGTAACTGTTCAGGACCGTCAGGTGTCGCACGTCAAATAGCACTTGGATGATTAACTTAGTAGAGCAGAAATCTCGTGTATGTGTATTATGTTAAGTTATATCTGTGTGAGTCTTTTATGCCCTTAATTTAGGTGTTGAAGACTCTGCTATGGGTACTATATTATTTGGATCCCCTCCGGTCTTTTCCGGTATCCGTCCCTATTATATCCTGATACCCGAGGTCCGAAGCCCTTAGTTAAGGAGTAAATCCCCCCTAGATCCCCTATAGACCACGTCGTGGTCCTGCCTATACGATATTAGGCAACTACTCCTACTATAATATCTAGTAAAGATTCTATAGATATCTACCCGGATTACTAAGATTGTAACCTCGGTTAAATCCGGTCCGTTATATAACCGTAAGAACTACGGTCTATTTAACACACCCCTTAATCGCCCTAAAATATTAGTTAGGCGATTAAAGCTATAAGAGCCGTTATTCCGACTATAGTTCTCTTATAGTCCTATAAGTTTCCTTTTTCGGAATCCTATCTTCCACACACAACTGCAATATACGTACAGTTATAATAACCGTAAACAACTATAACGTTATTTTTAAGCCTTTTACGTAGAAACTAATTCAACCCCTTTAGTTAATTAAAGAAAGTCGTAGGTATAATCATAAGGACTTGGACTAGGACCCGTCGTTCTATTTTAGAGCTAATTACCACCACGTTACAGAATCCCGCTTCCTATCTATCTACCGGTTCTATATCCTAGTAACTACTACTACCCTTATAATTAACGGATAAGCTTATCTATTCGATTAAAGCTATTCCCAATAGTCGTAAGAGTTATAACGCTCGTAATAATAGTTCTACCGCCTCGTGTCGTACGTTAAAATAGGACTTATATAATTAACTTAATAGAGCAGAAATCTCGTGTATATGTATTATATTAAGCTATATATGTATAAGTCTTTTATAGCCTTAATTTAGGTGGTAAAGACTTTATTATGGGTATTATATTATGTAGATCCTATCCGGTCTTTTCCGTTATCCGCCCTTATTATATCCTAATACCCGAGGTCCCCGAGATCCGAAGCCCTTAGTCAGGCATAGATCCCCCAGAGACTACATTACAGTCCGTGTGCCTATATAACACACCCTCTTAGTTAAGGTGGGTCTTCCCAGGTTAACTAACTAATTAGAGGCTTCGGTGTAAACTAAAAGTTCTTAACTTTTCTATTCCAAAATTAATAGTTAAGGGAAAAACGCCCTTATAAAAAGGATCTAAATCGGCCCTATTTAACCATTTAATTTGATTCTATCTTAATCAGTTCCTCGATCCTGATTAGCCGGATCTACTTAATCGGATCTACCTTTATCGGATCTGCTACGCCCTCGGGGGCCTTTATCATTATTACCGCCGCGGCTTTAACGAGTTTAATCTCTTTATATTTATATAGTTATTTTAACTACTTAATATAATCCTTTTAATCCGTTAAATTAAGCTATTACTATAGTCTTTTAGTCCTGTCTCCGGTAATACCTTCGTTAATCTATCCGCGATTATATCCTTTGTATTAATATACGTAACCTTAAAAGACCTTGCTATACAAACTAGCACGACCACTAATTATAAATATCGACGTGTTATAGCCTTATTCGTAGGCGTTATACCTTCTTATTAATAAGGTTAATAGTCTACTAATTATTATAGTATAGCTATAGTTATTTTTAATCTAACCGAAGCTTTAGATCCCTTAATATCCGAGTAATAAATAACGTCTCCTTAGCGGCCTTTATAAGAGCGAGTAGTTCCGACTCTATTAACGATATCGTAACTATCGGTTACGTACCCGCCTTCTAGTTAATAGTGCTACTAAAAAGCTTTATCGCGTATCCTTAAGAGCTCTTACGATCTAGATTATGCCTGAAAGACGCGTCGCTTACAGTTAGGAAGAGTCTATCCCCACCGAATTCTGGGTAGTAGTGTCTTATATAATATAGGAATAGCAGTACTTATTAAGCCCTTTTAAGGTGGTTAGAGAAGGGGTTAACGTTATATTAGGAAACCTTCGAATAGTGTAACCGCGTAGATACGGCATTAGAGTGGTTTCGGCAGACAGTTACATAACCCCCCTTTTTAAGGCCGCCGGATCCACTACCTATATATATATTAAGGACAGGCTTAGGATATCCCTATGAAGGGATTATTATTTAATTATTATCCTCTTTTATAATTACTTATTCTACGTTTAAGGTATCTTTCTAGTTTAACTTACATTACCCTGATTAGAATAGTGACTACCGATCTACTTCTTCGCTAAAGGTTATAGTGGTATTAGTTATATTTTGGTTATATATCGTGGTTTTACTGGACTAACCTCTTTATCTGATCTTTGTTTTAACAATCTAGTGCTACTACGTCTTTATCTAGTTATAATATAGTACTCGGAGGCGGATTTATTCGGCGTTCCTAAGGTGTTCTAACCCTAATTAGAGTAATAAAGGCGCTTAAGGGAGGTTCCGGCCCTCCTAAACGGACTATTGGTTAACGACCCCTGAAGAATATAAAGATAATAACCGAGGAAGGATTTAACACTTTAAGACCGAGGGGAGATTTACCCTAATAGATTTAGAAAAAAAAAAGAAACGATTATATAGGTAAGATAGGAAGCTTTTAGTATTTTTAATTATAAGACCCTCCGCCGCGGAGGTGATAATTATAGGAATAGAAGAAACTGATTAGATTATAATAGAGTTAGATTCCGGATATAGAATAGACTTAATAAGGGGCTTATAACCTCTATTACTAATAAAAATAGACTCTCGCACGATAGCGAAGACAGGATAAGACGGCTGAGAGTAGCCTACCCAGATTAGGGTAATAAACCCCTAATAACCTAAAGAAAACGCTAATACCGAGCTTAGGAGCGAAATAATAAGGCCTTATATAAGGACCTGATAGTCTAATAGATATGACCTCTACGGACCCCGTGAGTAAGTTATAATACTTCTTCGTAAGACTTAGCATATAATATTACTAATATTATTATCTATAAGTATAGTCCCTTTATTAATAGGCAATCTCCTAATCATAGGGGGCCTTTCCCTTTAAGGTGAGTTAGAAAAGCTTAACCTCGAAGATAACTATCACGGAGTATAACCTAGGACCGCCCTCTTATTAAAGACTTTATTACTCTTATTAAGATAAGATAATATATATAATAACCTGGCTAGTATCTAGAATACGTATATAATCTTTTTACTAGACGATCAGTTCTAAAAGCCTTTCCCTGAACGCCCTAACCCTAATATTATTACTCGCCTACCCCCCGCACTTATACTTAAAATACTATAGGTACTTAGACTTAGTATCGCGAGCCTACCCCTATTATCGTTATTAGCGACTCTAACGATAAGGCTCTATTACCGGCTATTCTCCCTATTCTTATACCCGCTACTTCTGCTTCCCCTAATTAGAGGAACCATGATACCGGGGCTACGGCCTTACCTCCGCCCGCTCCTAGGCCGATTACTATATCCGCCGCGGCTCTAAGTACTATTTCGATAACTACCCCTAATACTACCCCTATTACTGCCCCTAGATTATCCTTTAGATCTGCCCCTACCTAATAATCGACTATTACCCCTGCCAAGCCTGCCTTTACTACCTAGCCCGTTTCGAACCCTCTTACTACTACTACCCCTAAGCGCTAATAGTCCCTAGCTACCGCTAAAGACCTAATTAAGCTATTATGGGCCTAAATAAGCCGTAACCGAGAGAGTATTATCGCTAAGGTTATTAGAGTACTACCTCCTACTACTACCACATTAAGAGTACCCTTAAATCCCCTCGCTACTAGAGCTCCCCGCTTTTGTAGTAAGTCCCTCTTTATATTCCTTTAGTAGTACGATAACTATACAAAGCTTAACCGTCTTAGCAAAGCCGATAAGATTATCTATATTATTCTATACACGGATACGGCTATTTATCCCGCTATCGAATACCTAGTTAAAGAGGTTTAAGCCGCTAAGAGTGGTTAGTCTAATTTAGTTAAGAAGCTCGTTAGAGAGTAGTCTTATCTAGATCCTAACTACTAACTTAACTTCTCTTATAAGATTTATTAGCTTAGCGTAAAATATAAGATATTAAGATTAATAGCGTTTATTAGGTTAAGGACTTACTATAGTAAATAACTATCTAAAAGGCTACGGCCGAGCGGGCTTAAGGCACTTTTATTAAGGACTCCGAGCTCTATAGTATTATCCTTACTATTCTATATAGGGATTTTTATATATTCATTGCTAATAAGCTTAAGATCCGAGGCACCGACTTAAGAAAGATAGTTAAGAGCTATAGGCTACTTTCGGAAATACTACGCGAGTAGTCTATGGATATCTAGGAAGTAAAGCGTAAATCTATAGACAGAGATGCTATACTAGGTATAGCTAAGTCTAATTAGCCTAATAGTACCACTTTCTAGCCTATAATCTTAAGGCGGCCTACTATAGTCTAGGAGTCTATAGTCTCTTAATCGGATATAGATAAGCTCGCCGACCTCCTTAAGAAGTATACTATTTCCCTTATTTATAATATAGCTAAAGGCGTTAAGGGTATTACTACTTAGGTGCTCGCCCTCTTAAAGAGGATAGGCACGGAAAAAGTTTAAGCCCTTTTTACTTTAAAGTCTAATCTAAAGAATACCTTTTATACCATCCATAAATATACCCCTTAGCCTATAATAACTACTTTAGTACAATTCGCCGCCCCTAAGTAGGCTAATAGTACCGCATATTAGCCTAATAACGCTTAGTATACCGAGTAGATCTACTACGGAGGACCCCGCCCTAGATATAATAACCGACGTAATAATAACCGCCTAACCTAGTAACACGATAACCGCCTAGGATAGTAAGAAGGTGCCTAGAATAACGGCTAGCCCCCTCTAACTCGCTACTACTATCACGGCTAAGAAGGGTATCGGAGAGATAACTACCTTATCCTAATCTATAATAACGTCTATAACCTAG